CTAAAATGATACTCTGTAATTTTAACAGTAGTGTATCAGGTTAAAGAATGAGGTGAAATCCAGTTGAGACGTTTGTCCTGCAGGATTTACACATGGTTTTGATTCAGAGACAAGAGTTTGTTTGTTTGGGTTTTTTTTTAAAGCGAAAATTCACTTTAGCTTTTTTTTTTTTTTTTAAACACCGTGCATGTGAACAGCCTACTCAACTGAAGTGTTCTTTTCGCATAATTGGGGATTCTGTAGCAGACAGAGTTGTAAAGGCAACCGCGCTCCATACAAAAACATGTTGTGCAATGGCAGATGTAATTATGAGGTGGGGAAATAATTTGATCCAAGTGAGAGACTTTCGTTTTATTTACTTGTCACGGGGGCTCCATGCTCGATGTTTTCATCCCTAATATTTCAGCCTGCTGGCAGAGCAGAGCAGACAGATCCTCCTACGGTGGATTTCTGTCCTCGCTCATATGGTAATAAAATCCTCACCATACTTGAGGCACAATTCCAGTCCAGCTCTGTCTGGTGTTGATGGTGTCGGCGAAGGCTTTGCCAGAGGGCTACACTGAATCCTGAATAATCTGTGCAGAAACAGACTCGCCATATGTATCAGCTGCTACTGCTCAGTGGCAAAGAGAGGGAATCTTCAGAGCATGTGTTGAAGAAGATGTGAGAAGGCGGCCAAATCTCTGTGCTGTCCCATGCTGCATCTGAGTGGTGAACAAGTGTAAATTTCCATCTGTGAGTGGGCATCAACACCAAAGGCCTTTGCTCTTCTCCAACCTTTTATCACATAATAACAAAAACAGTATGTGCCTCTTTAACCAAAAAAAACTCCCCTTTTTTTTTTTTTTTTTTTTGCTTATTTTCAGTTTTGTCTCCAGGTTGGAAAAAAAAGGAAAAAAGAAAAGTAGCTTTTCTTTTCTTTTCCTGCGGTACCTTTGCTGATGTGTAATTCACAGTCCTGACAGTGAAACCTCTCTGCTGGTACCGAGGAGCAGATGCTCTCTGTGATTCCTAATTAGGCGTAGCCAATGATTACAGATACCTGTGCAATTGATATAAAGCAGATTCTACATGCAAATTTGTAGCTACAGATGGAAATGGCAAATATTACAGATCTACTCCCGGGCTCCTTTGGGAGTGATGATGTTCCGCCTTACATGTTTTGTACCTGAGGGTTCGGCTCCGTTTCTTTGGAGTGACTGAGATTTTTCTGCCCAGAAGTATTGGCACTCAGTTTGTTTGGTTTTGTTTTTTTTTTCATTTTGCGAAAGACATGTGGACATTTGTTTTATCCTCATTAACATTAGCAGTATTGGCTTTTAAATGGTATATTTTTTAATTAACCTCTTTTCTGTCTATGTTGTTTTACAATCAACCGCTGACATCACATACCCTGAGGATCCTTAGTCCACGCTCACGCTTTTTTTTTTTCCCTTTACTTGCTGATATTTTCTTTCCCCTCATGTCCAAGTCCACAGTTTTTTACAACGTAAAGTTCTGCTCAATCTATAATATTTGTTTTTACAGATGTATTTAATTTTCAAGGTAAATTGCCTCCCACCTTAAATGCAACATTTCGTTTTACTCTAAGCAAATTTATTTACATTAAATCCACACACATTAAACCCAAATAACAGATTCATTTAGTAAAGGTTGGAACATAACCTGAATTCACCGGCTGTGGGTGTAAGATTTACTGTACTTGATTTGCTGCCTGTGAATGCATTAAAAGTGAGGCATACACAGGAAATATTTTTCGCAGAGTGTGTGATTCTGTTAGATAAGAGGGAGATGCTCTCAAGGTACGTGTTCTTTTTGATACGCAGTCTGTCGACGCCGGTGTCGGGACACGATTGAAATAACAAATTAATCTAATTAATTAGAGGCTTTGTAAATAATTAATCACACTGAATAGCAATTTGTCAGAGTAAACAAAGTTTTAATTCAAATTATTTTCTTTTAAAACTGAATCAATGAATCTAAAACCACAAAAATGTTTCTTTATCATCTATATTTTATCTTCTACACTCACTGGTTAGTGCAAACTCAAAGTGTACCAGAACTGTTGTAGCTAACGTTAGCCCTGGTGTCTGTAGCAGGATGATTGTAGCTAGCAGTAGCTCTGGTGTCTGTAGCAGGATGGTTGTAGCTAACGTTATCCCTGGTGCCTGTCGCAGGATGGTTGTAGCTAATGTTAGCCCTGGGGTCTGTAGCAGGATGGTTGTAGCTAATGTTATCCCTGGTGTCAAGCAGGACTGTTGTAGCTAGCGTTAGCTCTGGTGTCTGTAGCAGGATGGTTGTAGCTAACGTTAGCCCTGTTGTCTATAGGGACTGTTGTAGCTAGCGTTAGCTCTGGTGTCTGTAGCAGGATGGTTGTAGCTAACGTTAGCTCTGGTGTCTGTAGCAGGATGGTTGTAGCTAACGTTAGCCCTGGTGTCTATAGATTGCTGCAGTGATAGGAAAAGTCTTTGTTGTACAATAGAAACACCACCATTATCTTCATCCAACATTTGAACCCACGAATCTGAATAATTTCACTATAAATTCTCTCACCAAACAAATAAACTTTGCTCAGACTTTCTCATTTGCATATTTCATCTGATTGGATGCATCAGAGCGAATTGAACAGTTTGTTCCAACCATGCATGACGATATCTTTAAACCTCACTGTTTACTATTCTTGTGAACTGAATGTGAAGTGTATATAATGGATTGCAGGACATTCATTATCATGTAAACGTAGGGTCTGGTGAATATTTCACTTGAAAATGTACCACTATATATCGCAGCACACATGGAGTCCCACATTGAACCCTCATACACTATAAAATTACTCAAGATTGTTTATTGTGTCTAAATACTGAGAGAACTCGAAAAGAAAGAAAGAATTCCCCTCAAAAAAAATGTATACTTTGCACAATATCATGATGTAAACCACACTCTTTTTGTCATAGTATTGCAGTTTCCTACATCAGATGGCGATAGTACTATTACTCTACTGCCAATGTTTAGTTAGCGGTCCTCCTACAGACAGATGAAGAGGGCGAGCCAACAGTCAATCGGGAATAAACCTTGTGCTAAATATTCCGTTGTGTGCTTCTCCTGTTGCAGATGAACATGGACATTTGAAAATATACCTGCCCAAGAAGCTGCTTGAATGTCTACCAAAATGCACCTCGCTGCCAAAGGAGAGACACCGGTGGAACACTAATGAGGTATGGCTACTTCCTCTCAGCACAGCTCTTTCTTACAACTCCATCTCTGTAAAACCGTGCCCGTCCAGGCTGTGCTATTCTCCCAGGTCCCTTTTAGACACATTTGTACGTCGTTTGAATCTCGTCTTCAAAGCGATGTCAGACCTCTTCCACGAAGGGGGAGCTGGAGGGGGTTTAGATCTGCGGCCGATGTCAGACCTCTTCCACGAAGGGGGGTTTAGATCTGCGGTGATAATAATGCTCACTATGGCGTTTTTCTTGACATATTAGCCACACTGAGAGTGTTTTCTTCATCATATTGACATGCTTCATGAACATTCGATTCAATTTTGCTGTGGTTCTCTTGGAAAGCAGGACTGAGCCTCGTAAAAGACCGGAGTCCTTTGTTTCGATTATATATTTTGTTTTGTTTTTTGTTTTTTCAGTTTTGGTGCACAGAACTATCCCAAGGTAGAACAAATACACGTCTCTCTGTGCTCGTTGTGTTCTGCCTAGGGGAACCTGGAGCTGGTTTTTGACACATTGTGACACATTTCGGTTTAGTTTTACTCTGGCTTTGGCAGTGATGTCGATATCGCAGAGGAAATCTTGGACGGCTGGGATGAGTCAAAGGTTATTATTCCACTTCCACTCCTGAAGCGCTAACAATCAGAAGGTACCATTGATGTATAGCAAAGCTTCTAACTCGAGGGCTGTGTTTATATAAACTTTTTCTGTTCAATCTTTGGAAAGTCTGGGAATTTTAAAAACAATTATGTCAAGATAGAGACAGTACTCTGCAGTGTACTGTTGGACTGTTGGACTGGATACTGGTACTGCTGTGAGTTTTTGGCAGTTGAACATTTACATCTTGTCTACAGTAGTTAAAGCAGATATAGAGAAACAAAAAGCTTATTCTGAATAACATCATGTTTCTTAGCTAGTCTGGGCTTTTTGAATTTTTGTCAATTCATTTAAGAGAGTAAATCCAAATGTGATTTTAGCCTCTTCCCTAAAAGCTGTCATACACAGAGCCTGCCCTTTGGCTACCACATCGCAAGGCCCAGCCATCAGAGGCTTGGCAGCCCCGTCAGGGTCCATGACCCAGCATCTTGTTTTGAAAAAAAAAAAAAAAAAAAAAAAAAAGGTCTCTGCCTTCTACAGTTTATTGTTCGAGAATGAGCTTCTGTTTTTTTTTTGAAGAAAAGAAAAGTAAATCTAATCTGTCAAAAATATTTGCAGAGTACTTTATATTTTAATATTCATTTATTTTATGTATCTTCATTTTATTTGCTGTAAAACTGAGAGACATGCATTAATAAATATTCATATTTAATTTAGTTAATTTTCTTTTTTATTGATCCTAAAAACTTCTTACTGTCCTTATATTTTAAAGATTTTTTTTATTTTCTATTTTTATTTTGAAGAAACAGATCACTTCTCCCCGTGAACATTTTTAAAACCAATATGCAAAAAAATTAACCATCCATGCTTTCGATTAACAAATTGTGACCATATAAATATAGTCATCCACAGTGATGAAAGTTAATTGAGTGAAAACAAGCGGATGATAAGGCAGCAGCAGCAGCGAGGCTTGTTTCTCAGGAACAGGATATTTGAAAATATGTCAATAATATATCATCGGCGTACAGTGTAATATTAATTTATAACCTGCTCCCCAGTTCAATATGTCTTAGGAGATGAATGAAGGGATGCGTCGTAGTAATGAAGACACGTATCTGTAGAAAAAAAAATTATTGTGAATTACGGTGGAGGTGACCAACAGTTTCAAAGACTGTGGACGCCCACGAAAAAGAGAGAAGAAAAATGAAAAAACAAAGTGGTGGGGCCTTTAAAAAATTTATTTAAAATTTTTTTTTTTTTTTTTTTTTTTTAGTGAACTACTTGTCATTATGACACTGCATACAACGAAATGTGACACTTTGACTTGGGTCTGGAAGGTTTCAGGTTCGAATCCACCAGCTAGAGCGTGGATTCAAACCTGAAACCTTCCTGAACCAAGTCCACTTCCTTAACCGCTAAGCCACAACTACCCCAAATATGTTTTACACATTGACAGAAATATCAGATTTTGGCCACTTTGTGCTTAACAAACTAGCACGTCGTGTAACCGGGCAGATTCCTTCGGTGGATGTTGGGCGGAGCTTAAAGAAAAGAAGACATTTTCATTAATGTTACGGTTTAAATGCCAGCAACGGTTACACAGAGTGTAAATAACCTTTCCTAAAATCAAGGTTGTTGTTTTTTGTGCAGACCGTGCATGTCAGGGTGTTTGCTCCT